GTGTGTGTTTTTTTTTTTTTTTTTTCCGGTCTCCTCGTCCTGGCCAAACGTCCGTTCTCGCCGCTCGGAGCCGTTCGCGAGGGGAGCGGCCGCGGCCGAGAGGCCCTTCCTGTCTCCGGGCTCCCCTGCGCGCGGGAGCGCGGCGCGAGCAGGAGCCAGCGGCGCCCTCCTCGCCTCCTCTGTGTTCTTCTTCTTATTCTTTTCTTTTTTTCTTTCCTTTTTTTTTCCTCTTCCTTTTCCTTTTCTTTTCCTTTTCCCTAAAATCTTTTTTCCCCCCACCGATGACTCACAGCAGCGAAACTTTTCGGGGAACTTTCATCGCCGCTGGTGAGGCTGATTGGCCAACGCGCCTCTTGTGGAAGTGCTGGTTAAAGGGAAATAGCGCAGTGCTGGGAAGTGTCGCTTTGGAGAGCCTCGCTTAGAAATTGAAGGGATAATTTGGATGCAGTGAATATATATACGCATGTTTTCCATATTTGCTTTGAAAGTACTCTTAGGAAAGCTTCAAAAGAAACAAAAGGAGTTGACATTGGGCTGAAGCTCGTTTTAATGATAAAATGTGCTTACTAGGGACTGACTTTTTTCTGTTGAACCATTTGAGAATAGAATTTTCTTTTTGCAATATATGGATCCCGTAGTCTTCCCAACAATCTTTCAATTGTACAATGTCTTTTCATTTACTTGACTTTTCATCCGTCTTTTCATTTACTTAGTTTTTAATATTTGAGGCAAGTAGGGCCCTGGGTATTAGTGCTAAAGATAACTTAAAGTTGATAATAGTCTTTCTGTGTCCAGTATGAACAGGAAATGCAAAGTGTGCACAGTTGTGACCCTGCGTGTGCAGGGGGGTTGGACTAGATGACTTCTAGAGCTCCCTTCCAACCTTAAGCGTTCTATGATTCTTGAATTGTACAAATGTGAGTAACACAACTAGAGCTCTCTTAATAAACTTAGTTGACAAGTAAGGCAGAAACTAAATGCAAATCAAAAGTGAATATGACATATTTTTTGAAGAAGTCCTCCTTAGTAGAGTTTTTGTGTCTGTAATGAAGATGCAGGTTTTGGTGGGTAGCAGCATCTGTGAGCAGGCTTTGACTTGCTAAGTGTCTCCTGTGACACTTAACTAATGAAGACCTGTTTTGGGAGGTGGGTGGGGATTTTGTTCTTTTGTTAATGGCAGCTAAGTACCTTCTGAATACTGGACTGGTTGCAGGATCTCCAAATTTTTAGGTAGTTGAAACTGCAAGCGATTAGGAGCATGAATAGGTCAAAATTGCCATAATGAAATATTTACTGTAAAAAATATAACTTTTTAATGTTCCATCCAGAACATGGTTCAAATTCAACTGATTAGGTTGAAATAAACTGCTAATGGTATGAACTACAATTTTCTGTTGATTGCCAAACACACACCAAATATGTATTTCTTTTTTCTTTAACTGATGTTAGTGAGTTATTGTCAGTAAGAAGACAAAATTCAAGAGAAACAGTAAAAACTTGGTAGCTGAACTCCTATTTCAAAGTTTAATTCAGCCATCTCATTACCAGATTAAATTTTCGGCTGTGACAAGGCTGTGTCTGAGCTCTTAAGAATACACTAATCATTTACACTTAGGTCTCTAGTTCATAATTCTCTTTTGGATTTGTGTTATACAGCCCAGCTTCCTGCATATAGTTACTTCATCAATATCTAAGTTACTGTGATTTATGTGGCTGTGAAAAATAACCATTGCATGTCCAGTAGGAATTTAAGCATCCCTGCCTGTAAGCTTGCTGTTCCCAGAATAAACTTAGCCCTTTCTAACTTATAATATCCAAAGCCATCAGAAATGGGAATCATCTGATTTTGACCAAAATACAAAAATAACAAAATACAAGTCACTTCTGTTATTTCCTTACCTAGTTATCAATGGTTGGTTTTAATATTTGGTCTATGGTCAAGAAATACAAATGTGCTAAGATACCTTGTGGGGGGAGATTTTACTTACATGTGCAGAGACTTATGAGGAAGTGTTTATTGAGCTTCCTGCTGCACAAATGCTGTGCGAGCTGAAGCACTTGTAGACGTGATAAGTGATAAACATGTATATTTACATCTTTTTTCTCTTTCATAGGACATTGTGATTTTGACAGAGTTTCTTTCAAGGTACATTTCTTAATTCTTTCTTTTATATTCAGTCAATATTTTGTTGTATGGAACTACACTCTTGCTTTCACTTTTTCTGCTTTCATTTTTCACCACTGTGAATCATTAGAACCATTCTGTGACTTGTACTTTGAATTTCATTTTGTGCCGCAAACATTTATAGAGATGTTTGAGAGACGTGGGCCCCCTTTTCCCTGCACTATTGCAGCAAGTGGCATGTGAAAATAAATTTTGCCTTGGAATAAGAGGTGTGTTTGACAGTGTTGTGTGTAGAGTTGAGCAGGTAAAAAGATTAAAACTGTTCCTGTTGATACCACTCTTTCTTGGCTTGCCTACCTCCCCATTAGATAGAGCTCTTCAGACTCACGCTTTGGCCAAAGGTGAGATCCCTCCTGACGTCTGTAGCAGCTGTGGTGTGTCGGTGTGCTGTAGTGAATTCCTGGCGCGTTCTAGCAGTTACTCTGGCACCGAGCTGCCCAGCAGTTGTTAATCAATGCGGGAGGAGCAGTGAGAGCCCATGGCAGGGGAGTGACTGGCACTTCTCACAACAGCCTTAGATCAGCTTAATCTGGTGAGGAGACTGTGCCCTTAATTTCCTGTGAAAGCCAATGGAATGAGTGCTCCCATGAGTCAGTACTCCAACCATTGATCTGTAACCTTTCATGCAATTCATTTTCTTAATCACACTGTGCTACGTATACTTTAACTTACTGACATTCTTATTCATACAAAGACGTGATGCATTAGAGCTTAAAATCAAGAAGATAGGTCGTCCTCTGTCAGTGGTGAATACTAGAAGTCAAGAAATCAAAACAATGATTGCTTTCTTACCCTCACACAAATCCACAAGCATATAGTGGAGTCAGCAATCCCTACTAGGATTTTACTATTTAACCCAAACATTACACACTCAAGACCTGTGGCTAGTGATGGCCTCAGAGGTCAGTACTGGGCCCAGTGCTGTTCAACTTGTTCATCAATGACTTGGACGAGGGCACAGAGGGCACCCTTGGCAAGTTTGCAGATGACACCAAACTGGGAGGAGTGGCCGACACTCCTGAGGGCTGCGCTGCCATTCAGAGAGACCTAGACAGGATGGAGAGTTGGGCAGAGAGGGGGAGGAATGACCCCAGACACCAGGACAGACTAGGGGTTGACCTGCTGGAAAGCAGCTCCACAGAGAGGGATTTGGGAGTCCTGGTTGACACCAAGTTAACCATGAGGCAGAGTGTGCCCTCATGGCCAAGAAGGCCAATGGGATCCTGGCCTGCATGAGGAGGAGCATTGCCAGCAGTTCGAGCCCTGGAACAGGCTGCCCAGAGGGGCTGTGGGGGCTCCCTAGAAGATCTTCAAAATCCATGTGGATGCGACCCCATGCCTTGTGCTGTCAGTGTCCCTGATGGAGCAGAAGGCTTGGCTAGAGGTCCCTTCCAAACACAAACATTCTGTGATTACTAAATATTGAGACCTGTGTGGCCTTAAAATGAGGATGATCCAAAAATACCTCAATTTGTTATGGGCAAAAATGAAATCTTTTGAAGCCTTCTGGTTTGGTGATGGACCATATGTAGAAATTGTGGATTGGTAACCCTTTTCTTATCTTCAGATGGTATGGTAGCTAAATGTGCAGTGGTGCTTGAAGAGGACATTAAGTAACTTCACTTAGTTGAAGAACAGGCCGGTACAGACTTGTTCTCCTGCACTTTGCAGTTACTTGGCTAGTAGTATCACTCCAACTTTGATCCTTGCTTACTTAATAAATACATATTGGATTTTTTGGAAAAGAACACATGGAGATAGCATCCTTTTGGGGTTATTCGAGTACAAGAACTTAATTTCAACCGTTTTCTGGATGCAGACTCCTATAAGTCTTCCACCTTTAACCAGTAACATTTTCTAGGCTGAAAACATGTATAATACTATTTGTCCATTGGCATGAATGTGAGCTGTGACCCAAAGTGTTTTGCAAATTAAAAGAATAGAGCATTTTGCATATACTGTTCACTTATTATATTGCCAGTTTATTTAGTTTAATTCATTAAATTATATATAATCCCCTTTTTGTTAGGCTTTCTTTTTCTATCTGACCTCACTCAGGTTACGAGGTTTTTCTTAACGTTTTAAGTGCTGTTTCTGTGTATTTTTGATCGTTCATTTTCTCATTTTACCATCTAGAATACTGCATTCTTTTCTCATCCTCTTTTTTTTCCCCTATCAATTTACTAGTCCCTGTTTTTTAGTCTCTCCGATTTTGTCTTCTAACCAGCTTCTACAAGCTCCCTGTAGACAGATGAGCTTTCATTTAGGCCTTTTCTTACCAGAAAAATTACTCTAACTTCATATCTTCTCCCTCTGCCATCTTATCCTTTCGCAGAACATTGTCTGCTTGAAATATGCAGTGCTGTTTTTTAAAGTTAATGCATGATATTGAAAGCATTGTACAAAACTCATCATATGCACAAAACCTCTTGAGCTCAAAAACAGAGTATCATTATTATTTTTTCTTTCTGCTATCAGTCTTGTTTCTGTGTAATAAAACTTCCTAGAGGCATATAAATGTTTGTTCAGCATATAATACTGGTCAGTTTCAGAAAATTAGTATAAGATACAGACACGCATAATCACTTGCAGTGTTTAGGTTTTTTTTTACAGTGTTTTTGCTTAGTCTTTCTCCTCTGGACAACCAATTATTTAAAGGGAATGAGTAAGTGTAAAGTAGGGCCTGTGTAGATAAAAGAAAAACATTATCCCGTCTGACAAGTTCAACTTAAATAATGTTGGAGTTCATGCTATAATAGAAAGGTCAGTGAGGATAAACATCACTTCCTGATAAGCAAAATGCATAAATTTCTATAATCCTATGTAGTCCTCGATTTTTAAGATGAAAAGCAGATATCTACTGTTTCAAAAAATAAGTTATTTTAAATGGTAGTAGACTGAAAGTGTCATGTAGATCTGCTGTTGAAAAAGAATCTGTTTATATATGATTTCCCCCTTTTCATGTATAATGCTATTTTATTTGGTAATGCAAAGTATTGGAATAATTTGTGCAATTACACCGGCTTTGTTCCTTGCATATAAATGTAAAGTGTTTTAAAAATGTGAAAGTAACATTAAAACAACTTTGTTATTAAGTCTTATCTGCAACATCCCTGAATTCTTTTTCTGTAAGGAAATCATA